TTTGTAAGGCTCTGTGTGATCGGACTTGACTTTCTATGATTATATTTCAGTGCAGGTAAACAGAACAAGAGACATTTTCGTGGTAAAGTCTGTTCGTAATCTGTACATTTGTAATGTACTCAACAGACGTTTAGATTGTAGAATATGTCTGAAAATTAGCTTACGTTTGGTATTAAGTTGGGTAAACCATTTCCAAACAAACTCCCGAATTACGTACATACAAGGTCTGGGGATTCCTTGGGGGGGGGGGGGGGCATTATCTCCGGAACCCCGAGTTAAAAGGTTATCGGAAGAGCGACTCGACTCTTCTCGAGAGGTATGGGGTTTTTCGTCTTGCTCACCCGCTCTCAGCATTGTTCGGTCACTGAGCTGGAGGGTTTGTCTGGGTTGAGAAGCCGTTCCAAAAGTAGGTTTGGCGCTGAAAGAATAATTTGGAGAGAAGGGGGAGGGGAACGGGGAAATACACCGAAACCCAGAAGGATAAAGATTGCCCTTTTACGATTTTGTTTCCGAAGTGGGACGGGCGACGTGTGGAGCGATGAGCTGGCATCGGCGAGAGCAGCAGGACGTTCGTATCAGCTCGGCGATAATCCATTTCCTAAGACCACGAACGCCTCTGGCCAGTGAGTTGGGAGGGGGGGGGGTTCTAGCTGGCAATGTTAGCTCCAGAGGGATTGTTTTGTGGTCGTGTCGCAGTCTTTTCGACACACAAGCATGGGCTAGATTAAAGAGATTCCCGCGGTGTCGAAATGCGAAATAGATGTTAGACTTTTGGTTGACGGGGCTCACGACATTGGCCTGCGGTGAATGCAGATCGCATGAACCGCGTCATGCTTTCGTGCGAGGAGCAATAGAGTGACTGTCAGATCTCTTCGGATTTCCGGTGGGGATGCGATGGCCTGGCTCACGAAGCCAGTGTCTTCACCTCACAAAAATCATGCTTTGGTCAGCTGAAGGGCCTTGCATTATCCGACGACAGGGGACTAAAGGGTAGAGTACATGGGGGAGGGAGGTGGGTTTAGTATGTCAGTATCTTTGTCTGTCTTTGATAGTACATCACATGCTTTTTCTTATTAGATATAAGTGTATTATTTCCCTGCTGTGCTATTTAAAATGAATATGTTTTATTTGACATGATATACCTTCAAATGTGTGCCACAAAAATGCCACAATTTTTATGATTCATGACGTTGTATAACTAAGATAAGTAATCTAAGGCAGTATATGCAAGATTTTTACACATTTAAATTCAATGCGTTGATATGCTTCTGCATTCTTCATTCATCCCATATTATGGCTTAAATATTTTGCAACCCATGCTGTATCCTTTGCAGTGTTATTAGCATTATTAAGTACGGCGCTTGGGTTAACTTGCAAGCTGCATCACTATCCGCAGGCGTGACCGTGTCTGTGCAGTTAAGATTTACGATGTTTGGACACGGGGAGCTCCCCAGAGTGTAAATTATTTCAATTTATTACATCCGATGGGGCCTCTTTGCCCTTTCCTACACTGTCTGTTTTCTTTTTACTTCTGCTTGGAGGCGCGCGAGTGACCGAGCTCCTCACGTGGCCATGAAAAACAACTTTCCTTCTGCATTCAGCGGTCCTGTGGATGAGGGAGCGGTAAGGCTGGCATTGTAGTTCAGTGCAAACGGAGGAGAGCTTTTACTGCGCGCACGTTTACCCTCTCTTGCTCCTGCTTGCCCTCCCTGCCGAACACAAAAGACATTTTAACAGAGCTTGTCAGAAGGCAGTTTCTTATAAATATTTGTGGTTCTAACGACATTTTCTATGGTGATGTAACATCTAACCCAACGTGACTCGAACTTTTTGTCAGCGGCAAATTTAACTTTGCCGCTAGAAACATCTGCCATCTGGTTTAGCCCCGCTCCCACATCGCCATGTCTCGCTGCGCGCCTGCTAATCTTCTTCCTCCCTATGCTTTGCCATGACGTAAAAGATTTCCTTCAGACTTAGCGCCAGAAGTGATTCCATTTATGTTGTTACTCCCGGTATAAGATTATTAACACACGACCTGCTTGGAACCGCGTCGCCTAAGAAAAACGCCGTAAAATGTATGGCCAACTTTGGAGCATTGATTACAATATGCTGAGTCCGCGCCCTGGTCGCCGGCCTCAACTCTTCTCGCTTTAGTTATTCGCTTTGTGAAAATTGCACCGAGTTATTCACCCCATTTTTATTACAGTTTTCAATCTTTATCAAACGTCTCCCTTAGGAAGCCTTTGAATCGAGATAGCCAGGCGGAAATAACAAATGGACGAGTGGCGGTGCGAACGGCGTTTCGGACACAGTTGCATGCGGCCGCTGTCGTGCTGTTGTTTTGGGGGAAGGGGAGGAGAGGAGGAGGGGAAGGGTGGAGGCGTGCATGGCGGTGTTGGTCGTGAAGCAGTGGTGAGGCCTGTGCGTTAAGGGCCATGCACAGTGACACGAGCCTGCGCCCTGGAAATCGAGGGCAGTTCGTGTGCCTCGAGAACTTACG